CTAAGTTTAGGTCTGCATCCATCACTACACCCACATTTCTCGCCTGGTTTGTGGTTTTATTAGTACTTTCCTCAAATGTGTCGAATATGTATTTTCTCATCTAAATGTCTACTGAGCCAGGGGGCGGTAATGTGCCTTAACATTGGTTTCCAACCAGGAAGAAGAAGAAGAAGAAGCTGTGAGCCAGGAGGGAGGGGGTGAGTGAGTGCTGAGCATGAGAAGGTGGGTGAGGGTGCGGGGGACTGAGCATTGACTGTAGAAAACATGGACAACGCGACAGCTCCCCGAAAATGAGGCCAAAACGTCTCTATCGCCGTCATAAACCCCGCCTCCTCCATGTTAGCGGATAAGACTGGGGTCAGACTAAAATTAATTTATTCTCTTTTGTTATCAATGGTTCTCATCACGCTGATTTATGTTCAAGGGGTCTCCTCTCCCATAGGTTTGATTCTAATTCCTACCGCGGTGATGTTAAATTGGAGTGAGACGTCATCATAGCAGCTTTGACTGGCAGCTGCAGTCACGGAGAAACTTGCGTATCTCTGTTCGGGAATAGCAGATAGAGCGTAGGCTCTGAGAGGAGGGTCGGCGTTTACGCTACGAAGACACGACCGAGTGTTTTAACCTGACAGCCTGAGGTGTTCTTCAGTAAACTGGACTCCCCGACAGAAGGACCCGAGGCCCTGCTGCACTTTTTCGGTAAGTTAAACGTGTTTGTAAGCTAATCCGTAACTACCGTCCTTAGCTCGGTCCTGAGACCTAGCTAGCTAAGATGAGGACTCGGCTGTCAGGGTTCGTTTAGCTAATCTGTGCAGGTGAATGAATTTACCCTGACTAAAGAAATCAAGAGAAACGCCCCAGGCTGCTCAGTCATTAATTAACGTCACTGTACTTTTATTACAAGTGTTATACTTTAAAAACAGCAGGCTGCACCTGCTGCAGCTGAATATTAAATATGTGCAAACAACAGCATGTTTTCAGTCTCTTGCCACATCTGTAAAGACAGTAACATTTTTTTTAAAGCTTGTACTTCAGTAACTCCTCATTAATCAGGAACTATGGATTAAAGTACTGTAGTGCAATACTGAAAAAAATGCAAGAGAAGAACTTCACATCCTGAGTGTGTGAGGACAGAAGAATCAGCTTTATTTCAATTTTGAGGGATAAAATTTATATTTGAGTTTGATGGTTCTTTTCTCTTCTTTTTGATTACAGGAGCTGCCCTCAGATTCAGACCTCAGCACCACCCAGTGACAGCAGACAGATCATCCAACATGTTCACATGTTAACTGCAAAATGAACTGATG